CAGTGACTTTACAGCTTTAGAGAACAAACTAGTGGTTACCAGTGGGGAGATGGAAGGGGAGAAGGGCAATATAGGAGTAGGGGGAAAGGAAAAAAAAGGGTTATTATGGGATTATATGAAATCACGTGTGTGAAACTTTTGAAAGTTGTAAAGCACTCTAGAATTTAAAGAAATTTCATTCAATAAGAAAAGATCGTATAATATTGCAGATAAAAAGAATATCAGTGTCTTTAGGTTTAGGAAGTGTCTGGTCAACCCTTCCTTTGCTTCAGTGTAACTATGTCCACTCTCACCATGGCCTCACCTACCTGAGGCTGTGCGTGGTCAGGACTTACTGATGGTGGGGGTACTAGGCTGATAGGGTGGCCTCAGCCAGCCTCTTTGGTACCCTCTGTGTGTCTTGCATTCTGCATCCCATCATTTCGCCAAGACATAGAAAGACACGTCCTTTGGCCTGATTTAGGCGGAAGGCATGCTGATGAAGAGTAGGGTCTCAGGAGTAGAGAGTCATCAATGGAAATCTTGCCTCTTTGCTTCCTGAGTGTGAGACTTTGAACCAGGTACTTCACCAACCAGCCCTCAGTTCCCCCGCAAGTGCAATGGGGACGAGGATGAGTGTGATGGTGCTTCAAAGGGTAGTTATAAAAAAAAAAAGGTCACGAAGAACCTAGGGGTAAGATGGGAATAAAGACACAGACCTACTAGAGAATGGACTTGAGGATATGGGGAGGGGGAAGGGCAAGCTGCGACAAAGCGAGAGAGTGGCATGGACATATATACACTACCAAACGTAAGGTAGATAGCTAGTGGGAAGCAACCTCATAGCACAGGGAGATCAGCTCGGTGCTTTGTGACCACCTAGAGGGGTGGGATAGGGAGGGTGGGAGGGAGGGAGGGAGACGTAAGAGGGAAGAGATACGGGAACATGTGTATATGTATAACTGATTCACTTTGTTGTATGGCAGAAACTAACACACCATTGTAAAGCAATTATACTCCAATAAAGATGTTAAAAAAATAAAGGGTAGTTATGAGGATCAAACGAAATACTTCATTTAAAACATGTAGCCCTGAGCTAGGGTCACGATAGATACTCAGGTAATAATGTTCATGAGCAGCTGTTACATCAAGAGCAGAGGCTGGAAGAGTGAAAAAAAGCCCCCGAGAAGCTTGAGAGAGTTTTGCTCTGAGGAAAGTTGAGAGGCCTCCCCACAGGGCCCAGAGACATTTCCTCAGCAGTTCCTCTTTGCGGGAAGCCCAGGCCTGCCCTTGTGCAAGGACACAGCAGTGAGGAGAGGGCTTTCTCTCCAGGGTCAAGGCCCAGGGAAATGAATCTCCTCACCTCCCTCCGTACCCCAGCCCAGATCTGGAGGGCCTTCAAGGTGTAGCATCTACCCTGACACAGGGAGCTCTTTCCACCCTCTCTCTGCAGGCTTGGGGCAGGGGCTGAGGACTGGGGAGGAAGTTCATGGAGATTCACTCTGGGGGATAAGGAGGAAAGCAGAGGTGCAAAGGGAAGCCAATCCTGCCTTCCAAGCACAGGATGGGGACCAACCTCGCTGGATAGGCCCCTTTCTAATTTTAAGGAGGAAGTGCGCCCTGGGCCTCAGCGCTCCCATCTCAGTTGAAACCCATTTTCCCAGGTGCCCCCCTCCTGACAGTTAATGAGAATGAAACACAGGGTTGAGCCTCCCCTGGGGCCTGAGTCTCTGACTCGGATGTCATGACTCTGTCTTCAGGTGGACACAGTGAGAACCTGCCGGAGGGATGGGCACGTAGGGATCTGGCATGTTTACTGGCAGGTGTGCAGTGCTTCCAGTCTGTTCCAGTGCAGTTCCCCGGTTGTGTCTTTTCTTTGGGTGGTTCCTGGTGCCACATCTCAGCAATAGAGAGACACCCAATGCCTTCCATGGCCAGGCAGGGGATACAAATGAATGACACCAGCCAAGTGTAAGTCAGATAAGGAGGCGTGGGTCTGTGATGACCTGGAAAGCTTACGACTTCAAAGGGAGAGAATTGCCTCATTTTCTAATTTTCAAAACACTCCTGCCCGGGGGCAATCTGCAAGGCCTGTTTACCCTTCTTTGGCGGTGGCAATGCTCTGTCTGCGCCCACTCATGGTGTGGGGCTGGTCATGGGGGTGGGACAGCAATGACCCCTGGGACCACTGGACATCCTAATGAAGCTTCATTTAAAAGGGCTGAATGGGGAGGAAGAGGTGAGCTGTGCTTCGGCCACAGCCGCTGGGCCTTGCCATCCTGGTGCATGTCCCCAGGTCCTGGCGCCTTTAGAGCTGCTGACAGCCTCAGATCCATCTGCAGAGGGAAAGGGAAACCAGGAAGGGGCTGCTGGATCAGGAGCTGCCTGGTCCCTGCAGGTGACACTCTGGGTGACCTTGGGTCACGCGCTTTTCCTGGTTTCTAGGCAACCCACACTCCTCCCCACAGGCAGACCAGGGCTACCTTAGGTCTCCCAGAGTTTCTGCAAAGTGACAGCCTCTGTCTCAAGTCTGATTTCCTCTCTAGCAGCAATGCCCCTATAAATGAGGTCTGGACTTCTTAACAGAGGATTTCAACAAAAAAGAGGCTTAAGAGAATAAGGAATTTGCAAATCTTACACATTGGAAATAGGCCAGCAGTTCAGTGACGCTGAAAGAAACTCGAGAGTTTCCCAAGATGACTAAAGCCCCTCTTTCTAGCTTCCCACCTGCTCCCAGCACTCTAGAAAGCCCAAACACAATTATTGGAAAGCCTGGCCATTAGAAGGCAATATAGTGGCCTATATTTAGCCTGGATCCTATATCAAAATCAAGGGAGAGGACCGTCTTCTGCATTAACAGTGGCCCTCTGCACAGAGATAAGGGCTGTAGTTCAGAGAAGTTTGTGTGTGTAGCGTGTGTGTGTGTGTGTGTGTGTGTGTGTCTGTGTGTGTGTGTGTGGCTGCAGACCCTTCCACTGGCTGGGATAAATTGGACTTTTAAACTGTCTATAGCTAATCCATTAAAAGTTTATATACCTCTTAAAACAGCAGCCAGATCTCCCCTCTGGGCAGAGTGTGGCAGGGGGAAGTGTCACTGATTTCTGACAGATGAAAGGGGTGCATTTTACATATTTAGAAACCAAGGCATAGAGGAGGGCAGGGTGTAGTCAAGATCAACGGTGGTAGATGAGGACTCAAACCCCAGACACAGACACAGAAACCCTACTGAGGGTTAACTTCCCTTCCCCAGGATGGGCATTTAGGGACCTTGGAGCTCAAGTAGGTGACAAGGTTGTTCTGATGGAGGCTGGACCTGGCTCCCCTACTCGCTCATTTACTCAGGGCCCTCAGCAGAGCAATTCCAGACCCGTCCTGGTGCCCACTGGATGGGGCTTCCTGCCCTGGGAAGAAGGAGCTCTTTGGGCAGAGTCCTGGCCTTTTTAAAAATCCAGCCATCAGGGCTTCCCTGGTGGCACAGTGGTTGAGAGCCCACCTGCCGATGCAGGGGACATGGGTTCGTGCCCCGGTCCAGGAAGATCCCACATGCTGCGGAGCGGTTGGGCCCGTGAGCCATGGCCGCTGAGCCTGCGCATCTGGAGGCTGTGCTCCGCAACGGGAGAGGCCACAACAGTGAGAGGCCCACGTACCACAAAAAAACAAACAAACAAAACAAAACAAAAACCAGCCATCAGGGTTCCAGGCCGGCTATCTCTCTGACCTGTAGCATGACCTTGGGCAAGGTCACTGCCCCTATTTGAACTTAGGTACTCCTTCTTGTAACAGGAGGGGTGGTATTAGACCACTGACAGCAGGCCTCCCTGTGCCAAGTCAGGGCTAATTGCTAGAAGAGCCTACTGGCCAGCATAGCAGTGAAGCTGGCCCTGAACCCAGGGAATGACACAGATCCCCACTGAACTCTGAAGTATGTCCTGGGGCTTCTCCCAAAAGATTTACATCCTCAGTTCTACTTAGCTATGCTCAGTTCATGCATCCTCGACTCTCCAAAACACCTGGCTAGCAGACTCAGTTATCTCTATCATAAAGATTAGAAAGCGTGATCCCAGAGGGCCCAGGTGGCTCTCCTAATGTCACACATCGGTGAGCAACAGGGCTGGAGTAGGAACCAGCACTGTTTGGGTCTGAGCTGGGAGCCATTTCCCATTTTCCAATACCCATTCGTAAGATTGTGTGTAATGGTGGGCAAGGACTTGATCGGCAGTGGGTGTCTCTTCTCTGTCCCCAGGGGACAGTGGGGGCCAGAGCCACGGCTCAGAATGCTGCCTGCTCACCTCCCCAGCACAGATCCTGGCCACATGCGGGGCTCGGGCTAGGGTCCGGGTCCGAGCTGGGGAAGTGAGCAGGCAGAGCTCAGGGTCACAGCTGTGTAGGTACTACTGTAACCATGTGTCTTCCCAGCAAGTCGAGCAGCCCCCGGATCAGGCTGGGTGAGGAACAGCAGTCCAGCACGGGGAACCATTTCTCCCCCCAAACCCTCGGTGTTTTAAGGGAAGCCTGGGATCTCTGTGTCCAGCTGTCTAGCTCAGCCTGCCCCGTGTGCTGGGAATTCTCTCTCCATGAAGTGGGGCTGTGGTTCGAAGAAAACAAGATGCACCCCAGTGACCCTTGACTGTGCAGTGAGGCAGCCGATTCTTCCATTTGCCCAGCCCTTTACACCTTCACCTTCAGCTCCCACCTCCACCTCACAACAGCCCCCAAGGAGGTGGGGCAGACTCTTTCAACTCATTTCACAGATGACGATGCTGAGGGTTCCCAAGGTCACAGGGATGGTGGGTTGCCAAGCAGAGATTCTGTACCAGACCCCTGGATCCCAGCCCCAGGCTCTCTCCACTGCACCTGCTGCTGCCTTGAAGAGCAGTGTTTCTGGGGTTTGGGGAAAGAAAGTGACGAATATGTGGCCAGGAGTTTCTTCCCATCCCTCGCTGGCCGGCTCCCACCCCTTGGACAGTCCTGTCTGCTGTGCCCGGTACACAGAGGACCAAAGCTGACGGGCGGGGTCCTACCTGCAGCAGTGGTGATGCCCAGGAGACGACAGGTGTATTCCAGCCCCGTCCAGAACACCTGCAGTTTCATGGTGCAGGGTCCCAGAAAGGCAGGCAGCAGAAGCTCTGGCCCGAGATGCTCCAGGTGGCCTGTGTGCAGCGGGAGGCTGTGGCTACCAGCTCTGGGCTCTTGCCAAACCAGTCCAGGCCACCTCAGCCTGGCCGAGGTGTGAATAGGGCTCACTTTCCCAGCTTGCCAGGTGCTCAGCTTAATCATTACCTTGGAAGAATGTCCCCACTGCTCCACGCAGCCGGGGCCTGGTCTGGAGCTGCTGCGGCCCCAGCGTGGCTGTCTGAGATCAGGCAGATCAGGGCTGGGCTAGCGGCAGCGTGGAGCTGACAATTAACTGTTTCTGGCTGGGAGGGGGGAGCCAGCCAAGGAGTCAGCCCAGGCCGTGCCCTACTGGGTAGCAGAAAGGCGCAGAGAAAGTCGCACCTGGACCTGAGGCCTTCAGGGTCTGAGAGTCAGTGTCTGGAGGTCCCGGTGTACATGCAGGTTTGTGTTTGTGTGTGTATGGGAGAGAGGGATGTGTCTTTAAATCACCAGCAGAAACAACTTTTGAAATGAGTTCCAAGCCTCTATTCTGCTGTATTTAGGTGGATTAGAAAGCTTCCAAGTCTGTGGCAGATTTGGAGTCTGACCAGACATGCTTAGCTCAGGCCCAGCGCCACACACGGACTTTTCTTTATCCCTGACATGCATCCGTGACATGTGATGTGGGAAATTACTATAATCTTTGGGAGGTGAGTTGCTATGTCAACAATTAACTAGGTGACCTTGGGGAAACCCAGAGATATGCGTGAGCCTTAGTAACTTTTGCAGAAAACAAATGAGCAGATTTGGTTGGATTGGTGGTTCTCAAAGCACGTTCTGAGAGCTGCTCCAAGAAGCCTAGCCTCTAAAATTGGACAATGGTGGGCTTTTACTAATTCTTACTTTACTAACTGACACAAGGGATTGAATTATAACAAGTTTTAGTTTTCCTCTCAGGCATTTTTCTGGAATTTTTATGCCTCTGGCCATATGGGGTAGACATCAAAAACAACCAAAGGAGGAGAAAAAAATTCCAAACTAAATTCTAATAATAGAAAACTCAGGCATGGTCCATTTTGCTTTTTTCTTTGTTGAGCATGCGTAAGCCCTCATATAATAAATATTCTTTGCCGTTAAATTATTTTAATTTGATTGATGAATTTGATCAAGATTTCATAGTGTTCCAGAAAGACTACTAATTTTCCTGCGTTGCATGAGTTTAAGAACTTCTGTGTTCACGTGATCTTTAAGATCAAGTTTAAAAATGTATGATTTGACGTATGTGTTTATTTCTTTGGTTAGCTGACTGAGTTTAATAGCAGACTATGTCCATCAACTCCAAACTTCCCAATTTCGACAGGTCTTGACACTCTCGCACCTCTCCCCCAATGCTGGTACCTGAGTCTCTGTGACACAGGCTGAATTGCACAGGTGGAGGTGCTGGGGCCTGGGGTCAGCAGCCTGTGGCTCACGTCCTTCAGGCACCTGTTCTTCCTGAGCTCCGTGGGAAGCTCTGGGTGCCCCACAGCACACCTGGCTTCTTCCTTGCTAAAGCAGCTGACTGTGCTGTAAACCTGGCCCCTCCGTGCTCAGGAGACACGGTGTCCTTCCAGGCCTTCCTTGGCGGGGTCTGTTCAGCCCGCTGGTCCTGGTTACAGCTTCTCCTTCCTAGCAACTTTGGTTTAGGAATAAGCGTGTAACCCAATTCCGGTCAAAGAGCCTGGAAGGGGCAGGTACTGCTGTGCTGCTGGGAAAGCGTCCCTGACTTTTAACGTGCGGCCCGAGGACGGGCTGCGCTCTCTCCCTTTGGGTATGCCGGTGTTGGGGTGGGCCGCTATCTGGTGTTGAGGAGATGAGGTGAATGGCATAACCAGCAGTACCGGGCACCCGATGTCCTTACGGAGCTGGCTAAATTCACCTGTTCCTTGCTGGTAAGCCGGTTGACGTAAGCTCCATTTCTCTCCACAGCCTTTCTCTTGGGAAGCTCTTTTTTTGTGCACTGGGCTTAGGTTGGGAGAGACTGAGAACTACAGGGGCTGAGCATTAGGAATGTTCTTCCATCCCTGAGGGTCCTCTTGCTTCACCGGGGTTGCACCCTAAGAGGGATGGAAGAGGAGGGGGTGTAGGGCCTGTCATAAGGGTAAAATGTGGAGGAACCCCAGAGAGGGCCCTTTTTCAAGAAACTGCAAAGAAGACTCTGGCAGAGTTTATGACCCCTCTTACTACGATTCAGTGATCTGTGGAGCTCCACGGGGAAAGGAGAAATCTGGTTGGGCCCGATTAGACCTTTCAGAATTCAGAGAAAATATTGCCAGGAGCCAGGGGCCAGAGACCTTAAAATAGAAGCTGGCTGAGAAGGCAGAGAAGCTCCCAGACATCCAAGTCTGACCTTGCAGTTGCAAATGGGTCCAGAGGAAAAAGAGAAGGGGCGTTTCCTGGGGAAATTGGGGGACTGCCCAGGCAGCTTGTGAAAGGCCGAGAAGGGGACAGGACAGAAGGAAGGACTGAGCAGGGCTGAGGAACCTGCATAAAGAGTGTGGAAAAGTACTCTGAATAACAAAAAGCGAGTCTCAGATTACAGTGCCTAAGAAGCAAAGTGCTAGAGACCCCACTGCTCCAGACAATGGTGTGACCTGGATCTCATACACAGAAAGCATTGTTTCAATTGTTATTGCATCCTGAGGAGTCCAAGCTTGCACTAGCGGCTGGAAGTTATGGGGGGAAGCTTTTAGCTCCAAGTAGGGGAAGGTGTTCTAGCCATCATTCCCCCATTGGTAGGATGAACTGTTGCAGGAGATAATAAGCTCCTTGGAGCCCACGTGAATACTTGGTGGGGGGAGGTGACATGATGGGCAGTTCTCAAGCACTGATTGGATGATTCAGACCCGGAAGTCTGTGATTCTAAATGATTATGATTCCTTAAAGAATCCAGACAAGGGCTGTGAGATGTGCCAGCGATGCCACCTAGAATTCAAAGGAAGAGAGCTGGGGTTTCTGTCTGTGGGCCCTGGGTGCCCAGCCAGGGAAGAGAAGCAGTGTGGTGATTGGCAGGGATGGATTCCAAACTCACTTCTGCCATTAACAGCTGTGTGGCCTGGGACGTTCCTTACTCTCTTTTAGTCTCAACTTCCTTACCTGTAAAATGGGTCTACTAGCTATCTTACTGGGTCAGAAGTGGCATGTCAAAAGTACCTGTCCAGAGCAGATGCCAGTAAATGGGAGCTAATGCATACGTGAACAGACTGACTGCACTGTGGCCCACCCTGTGCAGGTTTGTTAACACAGGACCCCACCCACTGAACCCACGATACCCCAAACTGGGGCACAGCCTGGCCTCAGCATCATAGAGAACCAGGGTAAAGTGAGTAGCTGTTCTTTGAGATGACAGGGCACATCCAGAGCTTTACTTACTGTATTGTTTTGTTTCATGCTACAACGACCGGAGCCCCTGTGTGTTGCAGCCATAGGAAGGTAGGTTGACTCAAGAAACTTACAATAGTCCAAGCCCTGACTCCAGGGCTGTGAGAACCAGTGATGATGTCAGTGACGATTGTCATAGCTAGGTGCTGTGCTAAGTGCTATATACACCACCCTATTCTTATTATTATTTGCATTTTACAGGCGAGGAAACTGAGTCATGTTTGGTTAAGTGCATTTGCTCAAGCTCACACAGAACAGAAATGAGGAGATTTTGAGTCCAGTGGTCTCAGCTTGGCCCCCTCTACTGCCCCCTCTGGTTTTACAGTTGCCTCTGTCACAGAGCTGCCCCAAGAGAGGACACCATCCCAGTACCCTTGGGCAGATCATTCAGAAAGCCTTTGGGTGGAAGCTTGGTGTTGATTTCCTCACTGTTCCTGGATCCCAGGAGGCAGAGGTGGGCTTGATGAAGCTCTTCACCTTGTTCTCCCAGTGGTGGTCCATGGGAATGAATGCTTCCAGTGGAGGGCTGCAGCTGTCCCTGGGTCTTGTCTGGGGCTTCTGTGTATTGCTATAAGTGGATACTTCACAGATACTCCTCACTATATGGGACAGCCATAAATTGTGCACAATTAAGAGCAGCAAAAAAATTCCAGACGCTTGGGATGGCTCTGGGGAGCATAAGTCAGGAAAAGATGAAATGCGGGCGTATACGAATCTTCATCTGTTGGGGGTGAGGAAACTTCAGCAAAATAGTAGGAAGCTCACGGGCATAACTCAAGCAAGGGCCTGGCACTGGAGACAAATCCCGGGATCTGGTCTCAGCCTTTGACCTCTTCAGATGCCCTGTCACCTCACTCCTCATTTCAGTGTGTGCAGAAGAAAATAGACCTCAGACCTGCACCCCAAAACCCCTTGCATTCCTCTTAACTGCATCCTCCCCTTCACTTGTCCTTTCCTTCCGATGGAGGCAGCGGGGTCAGTCCTCACACTTGTGCTTTCAGTCGCTGTCCTTGTATGTCTCCTGAGCCTTTGGAACCATGTCTTCCACTTTCGCCTCCACCTTTCCCATCTACTCATCTACAGCTAAGAGCAAAGCTATGCTGCAAGACGCTGCTTTCCCCTGCAAGCCACGTGCAGTCTTTCCTCCCTTCACCACCTAGACTTTTGAAAGTGCTCTAAATTTACCACTCCCTCCCATTGTTTCTTTTTCTGTTCAGTTGTTCACCTACTAAAATGTGGCTTCTACCCGGGTACACGTCACTGCAACTATGCTGGCCTGGCAGCTGCCGCCAGACCCAGGGGCCTAATTGTTGTGCTCATTCAACTCCACCTCTCGGATTTTTTTAGCATTTGACACTGTTAACTCTTCCTTCCTTCTGGACAACCCCCCTATGACATTATCCTTTGGCAATCATCCTACGTGCATTAGGGCTTGCGTTCTTTCCTTTTCCCGTGTGTCCTTTACAGAGTCCTCTCTCTTTGCTGGTTCCCTGGTGGCGATCTGGGGCTGGCAGCCTCCAAATGGTTCCAGTGATCTCCCCTCCTGGTATTCACACCCTCGTGTGGTGTTCTCCCGC